GTATCTTATTTTGAAGGAACTTCCTGTTTCATTTGTTTACTTCCGGCACTGGTTAGCCAAATATAAGCTAAATGTACTATGGTCTACAATTACAGTCCCGCCTAAACGATGTATTGATTTAAAAACTTAACGTTAGGAGGGCAGGACTACTGAACGAGGGAGCCAATGGACTTCAAGTAGACTTAAATCGGCCTCCCTCGTTGGTTCGGACTGGTATGCTCTGACGTCACGACGGAGGGAAATGGACTGAGCACAGGTGCCTTTAGCTCAGTTCACTCTGCACGTCGGAACTGTTTTGGACGCTTAAACTTCAGTTCTGTTAATCCAGCAAGCTTTTTCGCCTGATGAAGATTCATTTTAGAATCGAAACGTTGCGCAGAGCTTGCTTTATTTTGTATATAGTTTATTTTATTTTTGTAAAATAAAAGTGCAAATTTGCAACACTTGAACCTTATTTTTGAAGCCTAAGTTTAACTATTACCAGTCCTCTTTTTTCTAAAGTTCTTTTCTAAACCTTGTTTTTCTAAATACAACCTAAAAGGAAAAAAACATTTCTATTTTTAAAAAAAACCTTTTAACTCTAAAGAGAACGCTTAACCCTCGACCACGGAACCAAAAACAGAAGTATGAGGTTCCACACGGAGGAACGGGACGACGGATGGGTACAATGGCGACGCCCAGGTAGGAGACGGAACCGACGCCAGAGCCCCGTTCCAGCTCCACGATACCGACAAGGTAACTACAGAACCTCACCAGAACCTCCTCCTCGAACCTATGCGGAGGTGACCCGAGACGGACCGCGATCCTACGGCGACACGGAGCGCTCCTGGTCCCGGCGCGGAGATCGCTACAACGGAGCTAATGCTAGCGTTAGCAGAGAGAGGTTCGGAGGGCGAAACAACCGCAGCAGAGCCCGTTTTGACTACGATCGGGATGGTTTTGACAACGGTTACTACAACAATCAACAGAGACCTAACTACCGGAGGTATGGCCAGCGAAAACAACACAAAAATCAACGCTACAACAATAATCAACAACAACATTTCAACCCTCGGCCACGACAACAAGCCCGGTATGTACCGCAAAACAGACGCTATTTCAACACACAACCACCCAGGCCCCAAAGTGATGATCCACGGTTTGTAGACAAAATCAGACTTTTACACAAACTGATTAAAGCTATTCATCACTCAGCTATAGCAACAGCTAAAAGCTACCCACCAGCTGTGCAGAAAATTCAAAACCACCTAGCCACAGTGATTAAACCAGCCCATCCCACTGACAGGACCACCAACCTGATCGCAGCTAATGCACAGAACTGGGCCTACAACACCATGCTGGTTCTGCAAGAGCACTATGATGCAGCCATCGCTCAGATCCTGCAAGAACTGACTCTGTACTCACCAGATGATCTGAAAATGCCTTTTGAAATAGCTACAAAATGGGCCAGACGCAACCTGGGCAGGCGCTTAAAACAGGAGACCCTCGACCAGGCGCAGACCCTGATCACACCAAACCCTGCACCAGCCCAGCAACAAAGAGGCTCCCCCACCACAGCACGAGAGGAACCCGAAGAATCCCCCCCACCATCACCCTCATCCACTGCCTCCTCCTCTTCATCTCCATCAGTCTCTCCTCCAGCTCCACAGACCCGCACGCTCAGAACCCAGACATCCCCACCTGTAACACAGACTGAGCAGCAAACTCGAAGGGAGACACCTCAGTCTCCACCCCTCAGCATCACAGGTGAGCACACTGACACTTCACTCTCACCCATTC